AGTAGGAGAAAGAGCTCATTTTTTCTCCAACAGTCCTGTCAACTTTGCAGTATCTGTTCAGCCTTCCTGTTATCTGCTGAAATCTTGTTCTTTCTCACTCTCTTGCAGGAATTAATCACAATATTTCTTGTACATGATTTCACTTGTTAAGTTCCACCATAACAAATTATGTTAACGTTGGTGAGACCCGTTATGGTGCATTCACTGGCCTGAAAAAGACTGAACTTTTTGAGTTTCCAGCTGCCAGAGCTGTTGAGGATTGCGAGTTGATTTCTTGGTGCATCACAAAAAATAAAAACGTTCTGAAATGTCCTTATTACAACAAATCAGAAAATAAAATATTAAAGCATATTTTGTTGTCAGTGAGAAGAGGGATATAATTTTATAGCTTCACTGTTTTTCTCTTTCCTAAAACATAAAAAGGCCCTACGATTAGATCTTCCAAAACAGATGAAAATCTGCTATGAAAATGTGTTGAAAGAAGGAACTGCTTTGCTACAAAGGAAAAATATAGGAAACTGGGGACCACTGTTGAAAAGAACAGCACATCAGCACAAGGGCCAGACATGAATAAGCCAATGTGGTGGGCCTGCTTAGTTCATGGGATTGCCTAAGTTTTTCTGATGAGTTTTTCTTTCATATTTCTTCACTACTCAGGTCAGGCTACCAAGAGTACGACCTCTTCTGTGCCTGAGTTCACACAAGAAATTGTGACTCACCTTAAGTCAAGTGATACTTGGGAAAACCATAGAGATTTTACTGGCTTTAAGATGACCGTGACTCATGCTGTCACGGGTTTATAGCCTATGCAGATTGCTCAGTGATTAAGTAATCGTTGTGGTATAGCTGTTTAAGAGGTCAAGACCTGAAGAAGGTCACGGAACAGCTTGTGGTTTGTAACATCCAGATGGGGAAGAATGTAGTCTGCAGTTAAACGCAAAGCTTGGTTCACATCTTTTCATCCTACTTTGCTTCAAAAGCGCAGGATTCAATCAAAGGTAGTGCTGTCTTTTTCTTCAAATTTAAACCAAATCCACTGGGTGTGAATGTAACTGAACACGTCATAGCTAAATAATTAAAAGCGTCAGTCAAATTTACATTTTAGGAAGGTTGCATTACCTAGCGAGTGATTAAAAGCGATCAGCCTGAAACGTGCTGTGCAGCAGTGATTTGTCAAACGATGTGTAACTTTGCCTGCCAGAAAACAAGGAACGAGTCTCCTTGTTCCGCTTTCTTATCTGTGCCTCTTCAGTGTTCTACAGCAAGAACGAGCACACATGAATGCGCACATGCCAGATAACTCTGCAGCCATGTTCAAATTAGGTTTGCCACAAAGACAAGCACGCTCACACACATATAGACACACTTCAGATTTTGCCCCCCGCCTCCCAACTTGCTTAATGCGACTAGGTGCTGACTCACGTTCATCCACCCTTCTGCCTGCGTTTGGTGACCATTTGAATCACAGCAGTGAGGTTAACAAGCAGCCTGGCCTTGCATGACTCTTATCACGTACCAAACACCAGTCCAGGAAATCTTCCACATAAGGATCACATTACATTCGTCCTGATGTTAGAGCACTAAGTAGTAGTGATAAAAAATGTGCTACTGAGCGTTGTGTTTTAAGTTGTAAAACATGAAAACAGGGGATAAACTAATAGGGAATAGCAGATAAGAAAAGATTCAGTTTTACATTGGTTGGAAGTAGGTTTCAAAACCCTTACAGGTCTACGTTAAAGATTCAACAAGAGAATCAACATTTATTTTTTCAAAATAAAAGTGCCAATATTCCAAAATTCAATTCCGATTCAAACCCAAGGATTTTAAGTTATCTTTAGCTGCATTTCCTTTGACCATGTAATTCCACAAATTTCTAAAGAAAAAAATAAACTCACAAAAAAATTCATTTCATATAAAAAATTTTGCTTTATGATGAGGTAGTTTGTTTGGCTGTGTTAAATTGTGTGTATTTTACAAAAATGAAATGGCAACACTTTTTTTGAATCACACAAGTCATGTGACCAACGACCGGATGTTACTACTGCCGGAAAATATGAAGAAGACAACAGGAAGTGGTAGGAGGATGTTGTCACAGCAAGTTTTTTAAAGACTTATCGCGAGAACAAACTTATTCATGTGTGATTTTAATCGCGTTTCATATGTTGTGGAAACACTGTAGTTGCGAAATTGTGGGGTTTTTTGCGCACATTTATAAAGGATACACAGGTAGTGTGACCAGAAAAGGTCTTTCAAAATAAACCTTGTTTTTTCAAATTGAAGTTCTACTTATTTCAAGGTTGTGTAATTTTACACGAGATTCCTAATGCTTGCTGGGATTTGCTGCTCAAAACCAAAGAAAGATGGAGTTGGACAGTGTGCACCAGGTGACAGGTTTTATTACAATTTCTTATTTTTTCAGGGTTTTTTCCAATTTCAGACTTTTCCTTTCTTTTTTGGTGCAAGAACAAAACATTCTTCATGCTTGCTATTGATATGCAACTGGAAAGTGCATCAAGTGAGGTGTAACCATCACCATTGATCAGATTTAACTCCACTGAAATATTTAACACCTCAAACAGACAATCCAACCAATAATCCACAAAATAGATCACTGGGTTTCATTTCCTTCACATATATTGCATGTAGAATTTGTTTGCACACAAATTGTTAGAAACACAAGCCAACATTATGAATATGGGCCACAGAAACATGTGTTCTGCTGGTGTAATTAGAGGCTACAGAAAAGCAACTTAAAAAGCATAAGTTATCTTCAACACAATACCACATTTTCTACTAATAATCCTGGAAAATATATTTATATACAGGAGGCTACAATTTTTTAAAAATCCTAAAAATTAATTGTGTTAATATAAAATAAAGGCGTAAAGAAAGAGCATCAACTATTTTTTGATGGGCTTTTTGGGATTTTACAAGTGGTGCGATAAAGAAAAACATCTAACGGGTTAATTCTCCTGATGCTGCTCATTACCAAATCAGACACTAAACAAAATAGGTGGAAGCACATTTGTGATGCATCAAACTGCTGAGATGCAGACTTAAAGCTTTCTAGATGTTAAGCTTCTGACACTATGGGAGCTTTTTAAGCTCTTCAGAGGGATATAAAACTCCTGTCGTGCATTTTCCTGACTTTTACGTTTCAGCTCACTACTCTGATGAGATTAAAGTGAATTTAAATGAGCACAGACTCTTCTCTACCCCTTCATCTCCGCATTTTCCAGTTTGCTAGTCTGCCCTTTGACAATAAGTAAATCTCTGATGATGCAACATGCAGAAACATTGCCAAGGAATCAGAAGCCAAGAGGAAATCGAGTCTTACTGCGGCTATTCAAATTTACAACGGAGTCTAGTCAGTGGTTATATGCTCCCTCTGATAATGTAATCATGTCTTCAAGGAAGTAATTGTCAGGCTAATGCAACTGTAATTTCATGTCACAATCGGAGACAGGAGCTAAATGACTTATCTATTTTTGGATTACTGAAGAAGAGAGTTTTAAGAAACAGGGCAAAGTATGAAGGAAAAGTGTGTCAGTCACACTGATGCCACAAGGTGACAAACAATGCAACCCGGCAGAGGTAAACCGGCACTGAGATTTGCTTTCAGCATCTGTGAACACTTTGCTTCATCTTCATCCCTGACAGCTAGGATATAAGCAGCTTAACGTGCTGCACAAATAATTTGGTATTTGCACCACAATTTGTGCCACAATGTTTTGCTTTTGACTTTGTTTTCATTGCTTAAAACTAGATGATTAAATGAAGAAACAGCATCTCGTCTCTTTTTTCCCCCTTGTCTTTTCTGTGAATGTTTAATTTCTGCTGAATTATGATTCTGCTGATCATAATCAGATTGTGATTGAAGGGCCAGTGTTTTCATTACCATTAGCTAGCTTAGCTAAAATACTGACTGGTCACAGCTTTCATTGATTTAGTCATCATAAGTTCATAAGTTTTAGTCAAGTCTCAAGTATTAGATGATGAAAATAAACGTTTGCCCTCAAATGCATGCCATCTATTCTGCCTGTATCACTGCATATAATAAATAATGATAAATAAACAGTTTTGTTATTGCAAAAAAAGGACACAGAAATACCTGGGTGTGTGCAGCCTAGTGGCTTAGCATTATCCCAATCTGTTTGAAGCACAGTGATGATGTTCAAAAACATATCAAATCTTCAAAACTCTTGGTGAGTAACAGTATCAAAAATAATTCATCCATATTGTTAATAGCACAAGTTTTTCCCTTTTCAAAGCTTCCCTTTAATTCACTTAGCAACTCACTAGCAGCAATGTTGTTTAGCTACTATTATTCCCAATAATGCCTAATGTCCCTAATGTGCATCATATCTTAACTCTGCATTAATTCAGGCAGTTGAATATTCAATAGTCATATGCAAACTAACAAACCTTACTAATTAAAATACTGTAATGATGAAAAAAAAATCTGAACAATCTGTTTAGCAGCAAAAACTGCCGAGCAAAAGAAAATACCTCATTTTAAAAAAAATACCTTTGAATAAAACTAGGAAGTGAGGGGTTAAGTTCAACAGCGCTCAAATAATTTAGATACCTTTAATTCACGGAGCCACTCACTACCAGCAAAATTGTTTAGTTACTTTTATTCCCAATTATGCCTAATGTCCCTAATCTGCCTCATACCTTAACTTTGCATTAATTCAGGCAGCTGATTTAGTCATATTCAAACTAACAAACCTTACTAATTAAAATACTGTAACGATGAAAAAGGAAAACATATCTGAAAAATCAGTTTAGCAGCAAAAACTGCCAAGCAAAAGCAAATACCTCATTTAAAAAAAAAAAAAAAATATATATATATATATATATATATATATATATATATATATATATATATATATAAAAATCAGGAAGTGAGGGGTTAAGTTCACCAGCGCTCAAATAATTTAGATACATTTACGGATGTATTGCACAAAACTTTACATTGAAAAGAGTTTGACTCTTACCCTTACCATCAGGTGGTTGTTGTAGTCATCTCCAATAGCACGGAGTTGACGACCAAAGGTTTCTGACTGCATATCCCGCGCCGCGTTAATAGTGCTATAGTGGTTGGGAGAGTGCCCTGAAACAGAGAGCAGAAAACACATGGTAGTTTTTTCAGCATATTCGCAAAACCGTAACGTGGAACATTATGAGTCAGAACAGTCAAAAGCAGCATTTTCTGCAGTGATTAGGTGTTAAGACGAGAGCTTCCCTGTTAAATTTATAGTTCGCTCAACTATGATTCATTTAAGTGAAACATGAAAAATATGTTATCACACAGGATCTGTGGTCGGGGGTTTAGACTTGAAAACCAAGTGAACCTGAGCACTGACATATTTTAAATATGACTCCTTGCATTAAAGGAAACCACAGAAGAACTAAACTCAGTGGATGCTTCTACAAAGCTCTGTATGATGTTCAATGGCTTCTCCGTTTGACTTATGGGTGACCCAGTGCTATTCTGGGTCACAGAACATTTTCTTCTACATTTATAGTTAGCATCACATTGCTAAGGTATTCAGACACCTTCAGCATTTTTTTCTGTTTTCTCACATTACAACCACAAACTTAAGTGTACGTTATTGAGATTTTACCACATACGTGACTTCTACAGGTAAGTGGTGGAACTGAATTGTATTTTTGAATATCATCCAAAAGAGTGTACTGAGTATATCTCTTTTTATTCGCAGTAGTAGTATCGCATACCATGTACCATGTATTTTCTTTTCACTTCACAATTACACACTGTTTGGTGTTGATCCGACACCTAAAATCCCAATAAAATACATTGGAGTTTGTAGATGTACTCTGACAAACATGCCACTGTGTTTTCTGGGAAATGGATAATATAAAATATATTTATTATTTACTTACTTACAATATAACATGTAAAATTTGTCTTTGACAGTTGTGATAGAAAAAAAAAACACACCAGCTGACCGTGTGAGCGCATGTTTGTATCTCTGCATCCGTGTGTGTGTGTGTGTGTGTGTGTGTGTTTGCGTTTGTTTTTGTGGTTTATCTGTTATATTTTCAGTCTGAACTACAGTATGAGTATGAAAGGCTCTGACCTCTTACCGATCTCCGCTTATGACTCATTCGCGCCGTTATGAAACCCAGACTTAATATTTCTAACATCCTTCAATATTGAAGCTACTGATTCAGCGATAAATCCATCAGGCGCTACTGAAGCATGGCTAAGACGGTTTTAATCAGGAGACATGGAAAAATTGCAAAGGCTCAGAATGTGTCATCATTGCTGGAAACTGAAGACAAGCATTTGTCAATTCACTCAAATATATGCCTTGTAAACAGTGAACAATTGAAATGCTTTAGAGCGCAAAGAAATTATAACCATACAAAGCAGAGTTAAGCAAAGCAAAATTATCTGTTACATATCAAATGCACAGCATGTAAGGGTTCCAAAAGTGTCAAAATCAGCAAAAAATCTTCAGCATTTATAAATTAGTTGTAGATTTGATCAGCATTGCAACAAATTATCCAGAGGGAGGATTAATTCAAAATGTGATTAGGCTGCATGAAAAATGTTTTACTGAATTCGAAAAGAACCCAAGAGATGTTTGCACCTTTAGCTGATTTTTAAACAAAGAACTAGATCATTAAATTAGTGTCAAAAGCGGTGAATCGGACGCTAGGTTCAGTATCAGTCGCCAGCCGTGGCTGGGAAAGCTTCACATTGACTTGACATGCAAACAAGTAGAAGAAACAGACTCTTAAGGGAAAAAACTTATTTTAAAGAGCACACTGTGTGTTAGCGCTAATGGCACCCCCATGTTCATGTTGTCCAGGGCAGAGAACCAATACCAGCAATGTTTGGCGTGATCATAGAAATATGCCTATTTGAAAGAATACAAAAATACTCAACAACTTTGCCCTTTTGTTCCAAAGGGAACCAAATGTCCAAAAAGATGTTTACAACTTTGTTGTGAATTAAATCTGTTATAGAAGAAGTCCAAATTCAGAAGAGTTACCCAGACTGAATATGAAAACTGATTACACATTAGTCCAATTAAGCATGTGGGTTTATTTTATACTGATTTATCAGCTCAAATAAAAACTGATCACCCAATCTATGTAGGTATTTGTTTGTTTGTTTCTTCTATTACGAAGGTGTTCATGTCAAGTAAAAAAACAAAACAAAAATGTTCCACGCAGCTTCACTTTGACTCTCTAGACAGCCGACTATTGTGTTTTCTTCCTGCTGCTGCATGAGGAAGTGCAGAGAAACCGAACTCTGACAAGAAGAAGATAAACTGATCCTTCTTACGGTACTTTTTGGCATCCGATACGCAAACAAGGAAACATTCTTCATATCTGAAGCCTTTATTGCGCGCTGGCGACAACACATGACATGCTGCAGCACTGCGCGTGTGTTTTTATCTGTTGAACATTGTCATGGACAAAGCCGACTGCCTGAGATGCATAAAGTTTCCGTCTGGGTCACACAAAAGAGATGCAGGCCTATTTTGACTGCTTAACGTGCGCAATTAATGAGTGACCTGTGCACAAATGCGAGCTGGTTTCTTCCGATTACTATCTGTCTGGCTGGAAAAAAAACAAAATAAAAGAGACACAAGGATATCAGTTAAGCTAATCACTTGTATTATATTCTCTTTTAGAGAGTACAACACCCTGACGCTTCTTACGGTTTTCTGTTAGCATTTGGAGATAGCACAACTGTATCTCTAGAATAAACACAGAGATATGCATAGACATAATTCAATCTCAGTTGAGACATTTGAACTTAAATGTAACCATTCATGCCTAATGCACAGTAAAATGTTTGTTTGTGCAGCATTTGTGAAATCCGCGAGGACCCCTCTATATTCTTAGGGCTTTTCCTTCACGGCTTGTTTCCAAATATTTGCTGTTTTTTTTGCCCTATTTTTGCCTCAAGTTTTGTTACCAAGCTACCAGTCAACACAGACTGCAACTTTAGCCGGCAGCACAGCACTTAAAAGGTCTTCTATTGTAGATGATGCCGATATAAACAAGTCCACTGGAGCACTATTTTCGATCTTTATTGCTGGAGGTGACAGACTTGCGTGCTTCGCTCTGTTTTTCAATCGAACCAAACAACAAACACAAAAACAGAATCAGAAGGACCATGAGAACTGCTGAAACTCCGTGAAACGCTTCACTGGCTGCTGTAAGACAATAAAAAAAAATAAAAAAACATGCAACTTTTTCCACGTCATGCCTCTTTTGGGGTTTAAAAACGATACAACCTGGAAAATCCATCAGATTTTGATGGTAAAGTGTTTGGTGAGCTTGTCAGAAATACACTAACTTTGTTAAATTACTTGTTTATTTATCATAAGTCATGTGGATATTGCAAAATTCATCTCCGTTATTGCACATTGCGCGTTATAGGCCACGCCCCATTGATCCCACCATCCCAGCCGCACGTCTTGGAAGTCTACATCCCTGAGACCTCGACACATTCACTTGTACGATGAGAACGACAAAGCGATTTAAACAAGAGAGGAAGAACTTTGTCAATCCTCCGCTGACAAGCTGACAGCTATTTTTTTTAGGGCATTAGAATAAAGCAAGAAAGAAAATAAATTTGGTTCTCCGCTCGCATGGGAGCACAGTAAGATTTCAACTGAGACAAGAAAAGCAGTCGCCTTTTTTGCTGACTCGGCATTGCCTCCTTCTTCAGCTTTTCTTCTCAATTCTCCGGAGTTTCAAACTGAAACCTTTGTTTCACTAGTGAACACACTCTGCAAAATTCACAGATCCGTCATCTTCTGCTTGCTTTGCATCATTCTCTAACCACATGTGTTACATGATAAAAACCTACATTACTCAAATATGTGCAGCCACTAAGACAGGCTTGCTGAATCCTGAATGTGTTAGCATGTAAATCTACGGCAATGCTTCCGCTTAATATCATTTGGGACAGAGAAGAAAATAAATAAATAAATAAAAATCACTGAGATCCAGATTGCCACCCACCACAGCTGACTGTGTGGCGTAGGTGCTTATTTACACAAAGAGAGGGAAGTGACATATGACCACAAATGGTGATACAATAACAGCTCTGTCCTACGATACCTGCTGCTAACAATGCTTGTCAGATTATTTAGCCTCTGGGAATGGTTACACCATGAAGTAATCCCAGGGAAACCAGACATCACACGGCCCTTACACTTCACCTGACCTTGTAGCCGGCAGGTTAAAGTCAGCAGGATGTCCTGTCAGACTAATTTATACATCAGACGTCTCGCGTTCCCACTGAAAGAATTAGGTGAACAAAGAAACAAAAAGTTTGAGGACTGGACTCAAATGACAAACACTTCCTAAAAAGTGTCAGCTGATACACCCTTTGCTCCGATCTTCCAAGCAGCTCGTCTGTGTCTTCGGAGACTCTGTTGTCTTCTTTCCCCATTTAACCAAAACGCTGGTGCAGGTCATCTTTAGGTGTGCGCTTTTCATCCGGTGTTAAAGAGGAAGTGTGCTCCTTTTGTTACACCAAAATGTCTTACGGTGCATCTTGAGCAAACTGCAGTTTAAATGGAGCGCTGGACTCCAGAGAACAATGCGGTAAAACCTGCTATGCCACGTCGGATTTACTTATTGATTTTAAAAAGAAACGATCTANGTAGTAGTAGTAATAATAATAATAACAATAATAATAATAATCATCATCATATCCTACTCTTTTTTTTTAGCGATGGAAGTCGCACGAGAAAACTGCTGAATCATCAGTTGCACTGGGAGGACACAAGGCAAAATGGGTTGGTCTGTTTCTCTTTTTGTTATAATGACTGATGAGTTACCTTAGGGTGAGTAATATTAACAGAACGCCCCCCCACCACCCCTTCCCCTTTATCCTCTTTTCCTTTCACATTGAGTTGGGAATTTCTGTGTAAAAGCGGCTTGGGCAACATGAGGGAATCAGGGGAGGATACATGTTTCTGCCTGAGTTTGTCAGAGGTTCCTCAGTGAGCCAACAGGCTGACCTGAGCCAAGTATTAGTCAATAAACCAGAATGTGTAAAAGCGTGAGTGTTACTCACTCATCTGACAGAGTTGCAAACGCTTTAGTGGAAAATCCAGTCATCCCTCACGAGGAAAACTCCAACAGACAAAACAGGCAAAAAAAGAAAAAGAAAAAAAAAAGAAAAAGAAAAACGTTTTCTGAGAGTTGTTCGTATATTTACTATCAATATCAATATCAGCCCCTCCAAAACTCTGATGAAGAAGCGCTTGAGGAGCGGGCGTCGGGCTTCTGTCTGGTTTCGCATGTTGCTGCACACCCTCACAAAAACTGCAGTCAGTGAAAACATCTGAAGCAGCTTGTATTGCGCAGTCAGGTCTCTGACTTTCACGTGCAAAGCAAATTGTTTTCTTCCCCCCCTAAGCAACACTTGTCATCTTTAGCCCAAATAATCACAATTTAAGGAAAGAAAAGTTCTGAGAATTTCACAGGTTATTTGAGTTAATTGTTTATTTTAGTGGCAACTTACACTATACAGAGACATTTTGGAGGACATCAAATATTAGCCAACGGATTATTTAAATTTTAATAATAGTACATTTTTCTTCCTCATGTGTAGTGTCCAGCAGAGAAATTTAAAGCTAACTTTCATAAGGGTTGTTAGGAATGTATGAACCAAGTTCCTGTAGAGGAGCAACAATTTAAGCTCGTTTCCAGCTTTAGCCAGATTAGCAGCAGCGCTAATGCTAAAGTCAAACTTACTCGCGAGATGAGATTCTTAACATGGATGCATGATATATCGGCACTAACATCGGTATTGGCCTGATACATAAAGCTGGGCCGATATTAACAGCCGATATTTGTTTCTATGTTGTTGATGTTTTGGAAGGGGGAGAGGCAGGGAGAGGAGGGTGGTCATGTGGTATTTGTTTGGTCATGTGACTGTAATAGTGATGAAGCAGGACTGTGGGGAGTTTAACTGAAGCAGAGATGCAGTGGGGAAGTCAGTGGTGTGGTTGTTCTTTTCAAGATGTTGAAAGAATGGTGGAATATATATATATTGGTAAATATCGATTATCGGCCATAACGGTAACAACTTTTACACATCGGTGCATTATTCATTCTTATGCCTCAGAGAAGGTGTATCTGCCGACTTAATATCAATTCAAAACCAACATCAGATGTTGTTTCACTAATATCTCATGCTTTAAAGTCTGACCATTTTTTTTATTTTATTATTGTTCTGTTTTAACACAGTAGGACAAAACCAGGTGAACAGAGTGATCACAATAAGAGGTCTGGGCTCAGTTGGCTCGTTCTTCTTCTTCTTCGTTGCTATTTCAGCCTTCCCTGTACACCCATCCCATCTACAAACTAACATGCTTAATCATAATATAAAATATAATGTTTAAAACTGAATGATCTTCTAAATTTCCCGCCCCTCCCTCTTTGTTTTTTTTTTTTTTTGTTAGTTTTTTTTGCAGTGCACTGAAGTTTGCTCACCGTGCAGCCCGAGTCCACCGTGCTCCACAGCCATTCGCTGCAGGGCGTGGTTCATCACCTGGCCGGTGGGGCTGGGGGTCTGCGTGGCTTTATCAGCCGTCACTGGGTGCGGAGAGAGCGGGGAGCTCGGCAGCGAGTCGCAGTCAAAGGAGAAGTATCCGCTGGACGAGCGGCGGGGAGGGCGAAATATCGACCTGCTTCGAAAGACGTCTAAACTGGCCGGGCTCACGGAGCACGGCGGCGAATCCGCGTCCGGCTCCCCTCCTCCTCCCCCTCCTCCTCCTCCTCCTCCCCCGGCTGTGGAGGCGCCCGTCTGCGGCGCGCAGCTCCGCTCTGTGTGCTTCGAGGAACGTGGTGTTCGCGCTGACGATGCTGGGTCTCCGCCGGTCCCCTCTGCTGGCGTTACTTCGGTCGAGCCATCGAGCAGATTTGGCGGTCTGTTGGATGAACAGAGCGTCACCGTGAGCGTGGGCTTTCATCCCCTCTGCCCGGCTACAACAGCCCCTCTGCGCGTCTGTGCTGCGTGGTTTTGGGAGCCGCAGCTGCGCATGCAGCGCAACTTGCTGTGTCACGACTGGACTTTGTTCTGCAATTCTTTATTTTTAGAAATGCGGAATCGCAGCGTGTTTTTTTTTCTTTTACACTCTATTCGTTTAAAGCGCGCTGACCTTTCTAGTGTCTCTACATCAGGGAAGTCGGTGCTCCACCTGTGGGGCCTGTCTGGATTATTTTCATCGGCGTCCACAGCACCTGATTCCCACAGCATATTTGTTTCTCAGCACAAGCGGTAAAACCCAGTTTCCTGTTCCAAAACTGACGTCCAGCGAGTATCTATTGTTTGTCAGAAATTGCTGATTATGGCAAGTCTTTGTTTATTTTTTTATTTTTTGCTGGGTAGGAAAAAAAAAAAAAAAACCCAAATCCGACATATAGGAAGCGGCTGGGGTGACTTTAACTGCGTCACAGGCAGTCAACCTGAAACGAACCCGCCTCAAGAGACAAATCTGGAAGCTTTTAATGGGATCCTATTGCAGTATCTCCAGAATGTGCTAAATTAAATGAAAGCTCAGAAGTGTAGCTTCAGTACAACAGTAAGCTCCCTCATTTGTAATTTTGCATTTCGAGCTTTAACGATCCGCCTCTGTTCCAGGTTGGCATTAAAAAAAGAAAAAAATCAAGAAATTGTGTTTAGGTGGTGTTGTCTTTAGCGCAAACTCTTTCTGTTTGTATGCGCAGACGCAAGTTTAATAACCATTTCCTCTTACGCACTACGGCTACTGCACTTGACCTGGACGCGCCGCTCGCTCTCCTGGTGGATACATTACAATAACTTTTTTTTTTTGTTTTGTTTTGTTTTACGAATCCCACGAGGATCTGTGCGTGAATCCAAACACGAGGAGAAACTGGAAAGCGAAGCAGCAACTCGATCGCACGGGTAGCGGCTGCCAACACACACACACACTGAGAGAGAGGGAGGGAGACAGAGGAAAAACAGGCAGAGGAAAGGGAAGGAAAGCAAGCGACCGTGTGATGAAATGTTGCAGGAAATCCGTCCAAAGTGCACTTTACCGCCGTCACCGTACACTTCTGAAGTGGAGTTTGTTTGCGTGTTTTTATGTAAGCTGTGGTGCGGAGAGAAAATGCGACGTTTCAGATTGCGCCATAAGCATGCAGTTTGCGACATTAAGAGAAACATATATATATATATGTACGCCGCTCAAGCGGTGCGCTCATACGGAAGTCGCAAGCTTCTGGATTCTGCGATTCTGCTTCAGTGCGTGTGCGCCTCCCACCGGAGCAAACTGAGGTGCAAATATATTTGTTAACAACCGCTAATTACCCGCTATGGCCAGATCTAATTACACACAAAAAGACAAGTGCATTTTAATGTTTTTTAAGTTGTTTTTTTAATCCTTACTTACTTCTTGTACTGCCTAAACCCGGTGACCTCGGCTCTGCGCTGCAATCCTAAGGTACAAAGAGATGCTTAGACAGAAATAATCAGTGTGTCTATTATTCCAGAAGGGGAAAATAAGCAATTGTTGCGCAAAAGTGCTTTCCGTCGCACCGCAAACGCGACTTTTATTTTTAAAAAAGGAAGGAAAGAAAGAAAGGCCACTCTCTCTCTCTTTAGCAAATAAAGAACAGTTTCCACAAAAACCGATAAACATTTGGAGCAATAAACGAAAGTCCTTTACCCCCGGTGCAACCCGACCTGCGCCTGAAGGGTCAATAAAGAAGTGGAGCTGGAGCGTGTCGTTCTTAAACACGGGAGCTTAAAAAAGCACAGTAATTACCCAATCATTTTCTTCAAGTATCATTCCAACTATTTCAGCAACTAACGTGAAATAAGCCGATTATGTGATTATGGACGCGTTACTCAAAGTACTTGGACAACTACAAGTTTAATAAAGCACTCATTAAACCATAAATGCACATATTATTACTGCTAGTATAATTATGACGATGCTGCATTAAATAAAGGAATGGCAAACAGACAAACAACAGATAAGTGTCCGCGGTTGCAGCGCAGTCACCGAAAAGCCGGCGTGAAGCGGCGGATCATATTATTCCAATTAAACAGCGGCGTGACGAACAATGCGCGCGCTCACTGTTCGCTCGCGCTGCCAAACTTACCTTGAAGAGTGCATGTCAGTCACAAGACTGACATGCGTTGACACATTGGCCCTAACTTCAAAAACAGTGGGAAAGCAAGTTTGTGGGACTTCTAATGTTGGTCCACTCGTCCAAAGTGGCGACAATAAATCCCGAAAAAGAAATAAAAAAAGTGGATGGGAAAGACGTCAACAAGCGAGTATATTCCAGAGATAGTCGGGAAAAGTGGTTGAAAAGTGGCTGAATAGTCCGTGTGGAAACTCCACCGTGTGAGGTAAACAAACTCCAGCCTGCCCTTTGTTGCTGAGATGTTTCCTTCGCTGTCCGCCCAAAGCTCCGAGTCCTCAGTATATAAATTAGATCACTCCGCCCAGTTTTGTGACGCAGTTTTCTGGGTTTAAATGGGGCTGATAAGGCGGTTCGCCGTCGCCCTCTGGCGTTTCAAACGGAACACCTGTGAGTGGAAGAGAGTGGAGGGAAATAAAAAAAAAATGCCACAGGACGTGCACAAAAACGCATCGCAGAACACACAGCTAAACAATTTCAACATGAGTAAGAGAAGATGATCTTGTGGCTGGTTTTAAAACAGTCAGTAAGAGCCATGTCAGTGGACGGCATATTAACTAAGAATAAAATCTGGTTAGATTCACTTCTGTGATGGAACATAGCACCGTATTAAACAAACCCTTCACATTTTGTCACATTTCAACCACAAACTTTAATGAAGATCGCCTAATAGACCAACGTAGAAATGTTTATTTTTTTTTTGTGATGTGGTTCATGTTTTTACATCTTTTTGTACAAATAAAAATCAGAAATGTTTAATGTGCATTTCTGTTGAAGTCAGTTCTTTGTATATTCACCTTTTTCCTGCAGCTACAGCTGGGAATATCTCCACCAATTTTGCACATCTAGAGAGTAAGACACATTTTTAGACCATCGTTCTTTTCAAAAATAACTCCAGCTCAGTCACATTGGATGAAAGGTGACTTTGATAATCCGCCCACAGTTAACCTTAAAGCTAACGCCACGCTTTAGAATGACTCTACAAATATTCATAGCAAAAATACCAACCTCAAAGTGATCTGATAGCATACTTACCCAAATGTCAAATGTGTAATGTCTTCAACACATTCGCTGCTACATATTGACATTGGCAAGTAAGCGATTTGAGTAAGACTGAAAATGTAAAAACCACTCCTGAAATGAAAGCAGACACATTTCAATATGTTTCCACTTATGAATCACATAAAGAGTGCTGATGAAGCAATAGTGGAATTTATGAAGAAATACAGACCTACTCGATTAAGATAATATGCACAGGGGCTTTTATTGTGCCTTTGCATCCTGGGTTTATGTCCACCCATTGACTGGATGTAATGGAGGTTAGCTGAAGTGGCCAACATGGGGCAACTGTCTTCCATTGGCTCCAGCTAATGGCCAAATGGTTATGGAATGGTTAGGTTGCATGTTTTTTCTCATGCACACAATGTTTCAGTTAATTCTATTTCACATGATCAAAAAAGAGGTTTTGGTCTTGCAGTAAATCAACACGGCACACATTTATTTCTCCTTTTATCTAATTTGGAATCCAGTATAGGCAAACAAATGGGTGTTTGGCAGCGTAACATAAGTATTATGAATCAAAGTAAGTCGTTCACAGATGCTCAGGTGTAGAAAATAGATGACATTAACTCAAAGCCGCACCATGGCATCACGCATGTTGCTTTAAGCAAGTGAACGCTGTGAATTGCAAAAGCGACATGCAAAAACATGAGTTGCAAAAGCAAATCACATCGCTCACTGATTCAGCGATGCTGATGCAGAAATTTGTCTCGCTGAAGGCAACAAGAGGATCCGGTCCACAGAACTCCAACAGCTGGAAGGCGTAAGGACAAAGAAAGGAGTCGGATCAATACAGACGGACGAGAGTGAGGCCATCAATAACATTTACATGTGATCAATATTAGTCAGTGTCTCAGAGTGTGGGAACATGTTTCTGATAGTACTTCCTGTTTCTGTCTTCACTGTTTAATTCTTGAGCAACATTAGTTTTAGTGATACAGGAGGCAGTTGAGGTGATAAAAAAGTGTTAGAATCTTATTAGAGTTTTAATTGATGGAGCTAAATAATATTTTTAATATTTCTCCCAATATTCTGGACTGGATTCTCCTCCCGTGTACTTTGCTTCCTGTGTTTTGGTTCCTCTGTGTTATTCCTGTCAGTAACTTTGATTAAAAGTGTCTCACTTATTAAGATCTCTGCGCATGTTTTTTTTTTTTTCCCACCTTCCTTAAAACAAGACAAAAATATAAACATCTAGACACGGTAGAGCATTTGTTTGCACCGTTGTCATGCAAACACAAGCCTTTTGAATTAATTTGTCTTTATTACTCAAGGATTTCATTATGGTGCTGCAGCACTCTGAAAATGAGCTGAGATTGCTGATTTGAGAGTCATTCCAACAAAGGCTTTTCATGCATTTGAGACATTTTCCACCACAGACAAACAGCTACTTTGTTCTTTAAGAACAAAACTGTTTCAAAAATGATCGCGTCTTGTCAGCCACACGGACACATTTCCATGAAAATCAGTCACTCCCTAAATCGCAAACATGCCAATATGTTCTAAAAATGACCAGATGTACTCAGCAAGGGTAACCGACCAACAACAAAATATTTGGTTCTTGTTCAACCAAAATGTTTGCGTGTTAAGTTAGCATTGTAGCAAACTCTTCGGCCTCCACTCTCTCCACTTGTGTAGAAAGTACAAGATATAAGAAAGCTTAAAGAAAGTACAAGAACATATAGCCATCCATCCATCCATTATCATACTACACGCTTATCCCATATATCTATCTATCTATATATATCTATATATGTATATCTATATCTATCTGTCTATCTATCTATCTATCTATCTATCTATCT